ATGTCAGGGACTAAAATGAATGACGGAAGAAGAAGTTGGAGACTAACGTGATATTTTAAAGGTCTCAAGAACTAAAATGCTTAACTCGAATTCTCTTAAGGACTAAAGTGAGGGTTTAGTCCTGGTTTTAATGTATGAATGTCTACGTTTAATGTTCTTGCTCCATCTACTCAAAATATACTTACAAGTCACTTGCTTAACTCTTTTAAGCGCAAGCATAAAAAGAGAACGTCTGCATATTATACCTCTAAATTCAAAAAGCAAGCACTGACAACTAATGTCATGACTATTCCTATTAAAAATAACTTTGAACTTAGCTTCTTTTAATTGATTTCCAAATATAATATCCTCAACCACATTGTAAGAAACAATTGTTCCATCCTAAAATTTCATCGTTGTAGCACAATTCATTTTTCCTCTAATTTTGCTTGAACTTCAGAAAATTTAGAATTAGTATACTCAACTTGAAATTGTCTCTCAATAAGGGAGGTTGACACATACTGAATTGTGATGTTCATTATACGAAAGTCAGCTTCCACTTCCTTCTCTACCTTGCTCCTTATTGTATTGTCATATAGCTTGAAAAATTGTTGTAGGCTTGTCTTCAAGTTTAAATATCTATAAAAAAAAATGCGTGTATGCTCTCACTTCTTTGTGTGGTAGATATAGTCCTGCCCAGAAATATTTTTTCAAAAAGATTATAACCCATTTATGGCGAGTATCGGCCAAAGCTATTGCAATAGCATTTTGCATAGCCTTGCATTGGTTAGTCACAATCCCATTTGGTGGCTTTCCAAACATGTATCTTATCTAACATTTGAAAAGCCATACAAATGTTTCAGTATCTTTCGCTGATATTAAGCTACAACCAAGTAAAACTGAGTGACTATGGTGATTTACACCAACAAAATCAGCAAACGGCATCGTATTTGTTTGTTAGGTATGTTGTATCAAAACGAACAATATCTCCACAAGCTTCATATGCAACTCGACTTCTAGCATTTGGCCAAAATATATTTTTTTTCCTTCATCCTACAAAAATAATTCACCAAAGCTTTGGAATCTCCTTGCTTTGCAGTCAAATGTCTTTCCTATTTAATATAGTTTATGACATCTTTTTCTACAAATGGCAAATTGTGTCCACCAACATCGTGAACAAAGGTTTGAAAAGTCTTGTTTATTTTTACCCTTACCTCAGTATGTAATTCAATTATTCTTCTCACATGCATGCTAATCTACTTATTTTTTAAAAAAATTCTTGCCTTCGAAGGGCTGACTTCATGAGAATGATCAAGAACAATTATTTTTATAGACCATTTTTCACATCCCCTTTTCTTTGCTGTAATCTTTGCTTCACATTTGGTAGTTACAATGGGATGTATCTTCAAAGTTATTGGTACCTTTGACTAACTTTTTCCTTCTCGTATGCATGCCAAAATCAAATAATTCAACTCTCCATCTTACCCCTTTTTTGAATTTCTAACTTTCCATCCTGAACCCATTTTAGTTGAATACTTCTTGTAAAATGTTTTAATAGCTTCTATTGAATCAAAAACTCCATTCCAATAGATGGCTCAACTATGTCAGAACTATCATTGACACTACCAACCTCATTAACGAGCTCAATAACATTTTGCATGTCATGATTGATTGATTCCTCCTCCATAGACCTTTGCACCTTCATATGCTTTAATTAAAAAATTAACCACCTGCACAAAATAGAAAAATATGAAGAAAAAAATAAACTCTTACAAAACAAAAGGTGTTGTGGGTGAACTTAAAGGAAAGTAACTTACAAAAAAAAATTGAGCTTAAATGGTAGTGTTGGAAGAAATGGATTTGTGGTGGACGAGCTTTGATAGGAGTCTTAGGATGGTGCGAGAGCCAGAGCATAACGTTCAGAGGAAAGAGTGGGTGGGAGAGAAGAACAAGATGGTGTGAGAGAGTAACAAAGAAAGAGTGGGCAGAAGAAAAGAAAAGTTTTTTTGTGAGGTTTGCTATCGTGCATTTGTAATGCAAAGAGGAAAGAGTAAGCGGGAGAGAAGAATAGGTTGGAGCGAGAGAGTAACAAAGAAGAAGGACTGAGCGAGAGAAGAATTTATTTATTTTTATAAAGTTTGCTATCCTGTATTAGTGTTTATAATTAGATTTGTAAGACTAGTTATTTAAATAGAGTAGAAATACGATGTCTTATATCCCAACAACTTATTTGGGTGTTGAAATAACATTTCTATTTTAAAATAAACTTAAATTCAAAAGTATTGCATAAGATGTAACACAACATGATTTTTTAATTAATTAAAAAATAAAAATATTTAGTTTTTGTAAATAGATTTAAGTTATATGACTTAAGATGATTTCAGATACATATAAGTTTACAATTTTATAATACATAAAAGTAAAAAAATAATCAGTTAATGCTTCAAATTGTTGCAAAATTATTTTATTTAATTATTAGTTATTAATATTATTATTTAAAGAAAAGGGAATTAGAAAAAATTAAAGTTTTTCATACACAAACAATAATAAAAAAGAAGAGAAATGTGAAGAGCAAAAATTAATAATTTTTGTACAGTGCATATTTCTGTAATGGTTAATATTGGATACTGTTGCATGTATGGTTGGACCCCATTATGCGGTGACTCTCGACAAAACTTTCACATCCCTATTTTTGTTATGTATTGTGTGAAAATTAATTTACTTTCCAAGAGCTTGTATGTTTTCTTTTTTTAAATAGAGTTTTTAAATCTGAAAAATAGAATTGCTATTTAGGTATTTTTTATTTATTTTTTTGTTTTTTTTAAAACTAACAAAGATTTAACTAAAACAGTTTTAAAAATTAAATTATCAAACAAAATTTACTTTATTTTATTTTTCTAAAACCAGTTTTATAAAATTATTTTAAAATATATTTTTTAAAAATTAAAAATCAAAAGTAAATCAAACAAACTCTAACTCTCGTGAATAAAACACGCTAGAAGACCACAAAATGCAACCATGCCCATTTACCTAATCACACGAACTTCTGCGAAATCAGAATCACAGGTTGCAATATTGAGCAAAAGAAATATAATTAAATGTGTTTGGTTATTGCTCTCTGATCTTTGTTCTATGCAGTTTTTGCTACCTCTTTTTCTTCTCCCTTTTTGAGTGTTTACTACCACTGTTTCTTTGTTCTGTCCCAAATTATGCTGGGGCCATGTAAAGCCAAAATCTCCTTAGTTTTCTTTGTTTAAATTTTTGAATTGGATAAGTAAAAAGTAAAATTAAATAAAAAACTTAAAAAATCCAAAATAGCATATACATAAACAAAATTAGAATAATATGAAAATAGCTAAAATAAAATAAATTAAGTTAATAAATAAAGAAAGGCTCAGCTAAACTAGATATATTCACACTTATGAATAACAGTAATGATATACTTTATTATTTATTCTTTTCAAAAAATTGACTTACTAAATGACCCCTATACACATTAAAATGGAAAAAATAAAAAATATTTAGGATTGCATTTTTATTTAATATCACCATAATAATTATATTTATTTATAAATATGATAACAGTTAATTTGTATTTAAATAGTTAAAAATATAATTTTAGAATTTAATAAGTAATGTGTCTTATATCAAACTAATTAATTACTAGATAAGTAAAAATATATATTATTATTTTAATTCTTATTAAATGTAGAAATTATATATACTAGTTTACTTTCATTCTTCCAACAACATTTATTGAAAAAATTGTATGCTAAATAATTAAGTAAAATAATTTTATAATCATCATGAATGATTTTAAAAATCATTACATTTCTTAATAAATTACTATATTTTTTTTATTGTAATCAAGATATATAAATTTTATTATCTTTACTTTCATTCTTGCAATTTTAAAAAATAGTTTTTTTTATTATCTAATTAATAACATAATTTAGTTTTATATGTTAAATTGTTTACAAATATATACAAGATATATGTGAATAGAAATTATAACACACACACACACAATTGAATATTAAAAATTTCATGTTAAAATAAAGCAAAAATATTTATTTCAAAATAATCTCAGATTATAATTTTTATAAAAATTGTTATAATTGGTGATACTTAATTCTCTTATCTTATATATATATATATATATATATATATATATATATATATATATTTATATATTTAAAATGATAATTTAACATATTTTTAAATCTTTATTATTTTTAATTTAATTTACAATGCAATGCAACAAATCTGGTTTAATATTGATCTTTTTAAAGTTTTTGAAATAAACCACAAATTATAATACCGTTAAAATTAATTTCAACTCAATTATGATATGATTTTAAGATATGTGTGTGTAAATTAATAAATTTAACAAAAATAATTAAATTCTTTTATTTGAGGGTGAATCACTTATTTGATAAATTTCATTTATTATAAATCACAATCAAATAACTATTTTCTACTACCCTTGGCTCTCTCCAACAAGTGAACTTAGACATCACATTATTTTTTTATTTAATTCTCTTACAGATAAAATTATAAATTATTTTTTTATTTAATTTTATATTTTTAATTCATATGAGTGACTAAATTTACAGTGAAGAGTTACGGTAGATCGATGATATCAATGATATTCTCATTTTTCTTAATGTTGGAGAATTTGTATGCATGAATATCTTTCTCTAATTTTCTTCTAAATAGGATCATGAATTATTTTTCTAATTTAGTTTTATATTTTCATTCATATAAATAACTAATCCATACTTTCGAAAGTCCTTTGTGTAGTTATAAATCCGAGCACTTCCATCTTTCAAGTATATGAAGGACTTTGTATCATTGATAGTTGATTTCGAATACAAGCATCAAACTAAGTATAATTTCAAAACAAATGCATTCAAGAAAACATAGGAAATAACAAGAATAATTGAACAAAAAGGTTGACAATGATGTCAACTTATTATTGAACGACACACACGAGTCCTTGAAATTGGCTTTGAAGCAACTTAGGCTGTGGGATAAGAAGCTCTCATAGCAATGCCACAAAGACCTTCAGGATAACCAACATCTCTTTGCAATCTCATGTAGCCACGTTCACCCCAACCTTCTCCCCACGAATTCTTAACCAACCAATACTTAGTACCATCTTCCATTGTTCCATATCCGATTGCAGTAACAGCATGGTCTTGTGTGAATGTTTCGCATGGTCCAGTAAATATGCCTTCTTTGTATAAATGAAATTCCTTATCTGTGGAAATGATAACTGAGACAGGTTGCATGGCCACAGCTTGTAACAGTTGCTCTTCATTGTTGGCAGGTACATCAACATAACCACTTATTTGGGCTGCACGTGCCATCCCATTTTGGCACGTTCCAACCACTCCTTGGTATGGATAATCGTTTTCACTAGCAAGACCCTGGTTTTGTTTGACATAATTGAAGGCTTTATCCATGAAACCTCCACCACACCCTTGGTTGCAATCGACTAATTCTTGCTCCGACAGTGAGATCAATTTCCCAGTTTTGATTTTCACGATGCCTTCCATAGCTGCCACAGCTGAAAAGGCCCAGCAGCTTCCTGCAAACAAATTAATCGATTTATGTTAGTGTCATGCAATCTTTATTTAACTAGATATTTTTATTTAATTAGAATTCGATCATTACCACATTGGCCTTGGTCCTTGACATTGGTGACAGCTTGTTTCTCTCTCCAATCCATGCTTGGAGGAACATCACTCAGATTTAAAATTGGTGCAACTGAGTTCGTTGAATATAGGGTTGGCAATTTGAGTCCAGTACGTGAAGCAATGAACTCTTCATAAGTAAGATCCGCAAATTGATTCAGCCCCAACACATAACTCTTATTTGCACCGTTGTTGAAATTCTCTATGTATTCCAAATTCCTCATAAATATCTTGAAACGTTTCTCCTTCTCGGCAACATCTGCGTAGGATCGTTCATATTGTGACATCCATTGCTGGAATGTGTTGGCAACAGATGATTCAAGCTGTGTTCTAGACATGGCTGGGTATGCACATGTCCAAAATATTATGAAAATAGCAATAAGATGCTTAATTTCAATAGTAATAGCCATTCTTTGTAGAGAGAGGAGGTTGTTCTATCACAATAACTATTAAGGATTGTGTTTTGGTGAAGAGGTAAGCACAGAGTTGAGGTATATATAGAACTAAAAACCCTATGTCTAGCGTTAATCTCGGTACACATAATTAAGAATCATTTCCCCTATACTATGGTTTTTTAATGTAAGGTTGACTTGGAAACATGATTTCAGGTGTGAAGCGAAAGTCCTTATTATTCCAACAATGCGCCTCTTGCCATATGCATTTTGTTCAATTGGGCCGACTAGTTTATATCTTGATTTAAAAGTAAATTTTAGTATGATATTTTTTAAATTAATTTGAATGATTTATAAACCTTTTAATATGAAAAATTATTTATTAAATTGTTTTACTTAATGTCATTTATTTTTTTAATCGATAATATCAATTTATTTTTATATTTCATTATTGATCTAAAATATTTTTAGAATTTTAATTTTAAAAATTGATTTATGCTAAAATGAAAAAAAAAATGTTGACAATGTTTCATAAAAAAAAAGACATTCGTAATAGGTAATTAATATTAATAAAAATGAGTGTTTTTGTTCCTTTTATCTATTCCAACATTTAATATTATATTAAATAATAGACGGTAATAATCTGATTAAGATTACTAGAATAATAAAAGTCAAGCGAGATATATAAAATTGTTTATTAATTATAAGAGAGGTGTATCAGAATAAAATAGTAAACTAATTTTTAATGAAAAAATACTTTTTCTTAACATTAACTATATGTTAATGTATAATTTATATATCAATTAATAATATTATTAAGAGTCTTTCTATTCATAATTTTTACGTTTTAAGAAGATATTTATTTACTTTATATTTGAGCTGAACATGTGCTCAATTGTATTCAGCAATTCTTCTATGCGTGTTTCATTACTATATCCCTCATTGATTTTCCTGAGGTAACGGAATAGCTAATTAACAATCACTAAAAAAAAAATATTATTTCCTATGCAAAAATTATCAATTTTTAGGATAGTATTTGTTAGTATAATTATTTTCTACCAAAAATTAAATTATTAATATAAAATTTAAAGGTTTATACAAACAAATAATAAATTATACTGACGTTTGATGTATTAATAGTATATATTAATAACATTATTTATTAATCTAATATATCATATTATTAATATAATTTTTTAAAAACTATATTAATAATTTACTTTTTTATTAGATAAAAATTATATCAACAAATGTCATTTTAATACTTGAGAATTTTTGTTTACTGATAAATGATATTTTTAAAATGAATATTTCTTCACCTAATATATAACTTTTTCTCGAAGAAATAAAAAAGTTATGACATGAATTAAGTGCTCAATATTTTCTTAATTAATTGTAGGATTAAGGATTTTTGTAGTTTTGTTTGGTTTGATTGTTACTTTAAAAAAAATCTTTTAAATTGATTATAAAAATAATATATAGTTTGGTTTATTTTAGTTTAAATATAATATCAGTATTGATATTTTACAATTTGATTTGGATTATTTTTATTTATTTTAAATATTTCATTTTTTCAAAATTTATTTATTTTTTATGACTTTTAATTTTCTATTTATATTAAAAGTAACACAAAAGTTAAGTAAATTTGTTGAAAAGTAAAAATAAAAGAGAGAAAAGAGACATTAATTAAAATCACAAAACTGTGAAAGAGTGATATATAGAAAAAAAATCAATTGAGAGAAATGAGAGTTTTGAGGAGATAAAAAATAGTGTGCCATATATATTTATGTATTGTTATAATAAAAACAAGAAAAAACTATTTTCTATAAAAATATAAATAAATAATAGTATAAATATATTTTAGTACGATTTGGTTTAGTTCAATTTTAATAATAAAAATTAAAATTTAAACCAAATCACCTATATAATGCAACTTTTTTTTATTTTTAATTAGATTAATTTTTGCTTTAAACAAATTTTAAATTTTGTGGGATTAATTTCAACACTAAAATGGGTTTGCTTCGCTCACCCCCTATGTAAGACGTGAATTGAATGCATGAGTTGAATCTCTCGTAGTGAGCATTATGCGCTTTTTCCCATTCTCTTCCTCCTCTCATTTAGAAGGTCTATTACGAATTTAACTTTCAACAAACAAAGAATATAAAACCTTAAAATAAAAAGAGAAAACTTAAATTGTAAAGTATGTAACTTTTATTAATGGGATTTGGTAGAGGAAATGTGTTTCACAAAATTTATAGAAGCTTCAACAAAAATGAACACGACAACATCATATAATTTGGTCCACAATAGAGAAAGAAATAAACACCTTAAAAATAACGCGTCTTCAAAGCTTGTAATTTGGCCAAGGAAATGAACTTAGTGGGCTGCACTGTCCACGAAGAAACTTCAGATCCCACGTCTCTCATGTTTCTTTTGCAGCAGCTTGCATGAGCTCTTGAGTACAAGGATTCATTGAAGTGATACATCCAGAAATTTAAAGTTATATATATACATATATATGTATGTATTAATATGCATACGTATGGAAAAAAAAATTAAATTACATGAGTATAAGTTATAACAATTCTTACACTTTTAATAACATATAAAATTTATTAATTTAATTGTGGAATTATAACTATATATTATTTAATTATTTTTTTAAAATCTGAATAATTATAAGAATGCAGTTAAGGAATTCTTAATTTTATATATTTCAAAATGTATACTACCTTAATTTTAAAGTATATTAGTAAAGTATCAAGTAATTTTATATTGATTTAAATTTTTCTAGACATAATTTAAATAATAAAAAAATTAAATTTAATGGTTGATTTAAAAATAAACTTATTTAATGAAAACTTATTGTGTGTATGTATATGTCCTATATTATAAGTTGTGACAATTGGCATCAAATATAATATTTTTAAATGATGATAATTTTAAATATATATTATGAGTTAAAATTAAATAATATCATGTGTATAAACTATAAAATGATATTTTCAATAAATATTTATTAAAAATAAATTTTATTCACAAAAGTGTCATAGTTATGTAAAACTTCATTTAATAATTTTAAATTGGTGAATGTTCATATTCTACTCTTTCATACTTTAGCATTACTCTTTTAAATAATATATTCTTTGTTAAAATAAAATAAGGCGATAAAACATTATTTAACCTTTAAAATTATATAAAAGTTTATATACTCAATAAAAATTTTAAAATAAATAATTAGATTAATAAACTTTATTTATAATAAATTATTATTAAAATTCTTTTTAATAAATCGGACACTTATATTATTTGAAATTGATATTCATTCAACTCGTCTTGCGGATAGCTGCCGATTACGTGTATGGTGTCCCCCGAGTCCTTCCATGATTTGATCTATTCTAACCCAAGACCATATAGGTGTAATATATTATAATATATTAAATTTTATGTGTGATTTGTTTGTCATTTTTTTTAAGTATTAACCGAAGCCCATGAATATGAGGATATACACTAATAATTACATAAGCATGTAGGAAATGTCATTTGAATTTGGATCATTTCCTGCCAGTCTGCTTGGATTTGTCTAGAGTTGAAATCTCAACCATCCATCATTTGTCTTTCTTCTTAAATTATTGTGCAAAAACTAAATCAATGATTGAGATCTTGCATGACACTGGTCTCACAAAAAACTTGCAGGAAATATAATTATCGATGCAGCAAGAAATATAATATGTCATGACCATAGCTTGCAGGAAAATTTTAAAATAGAAAAGCATAATCCAACATTTACCTGACCGGTGTACCCATGCAATTATTTAGAACTCACTTGACCTTTTAGATTATCCTACAATTCTCAAGAGAAATATCATGAACTGAATTTAAGGATAGCCTAAAAGCTGGAGTTTAATCTAATAAGTAAATTGAAATATAATTATATATAAGCGTACAAATTATATATATGTCACAAATATAATTATGATTTCCTTTGGTTTTGTTTAGCTCAATACCAAATCAATCCAATCATTTTTCATGAGAAAAAAAAAAGCAACACAAAAAATATAATTACCAAACACGGTTTAAAACTAACTGCAATATTATTCGATAATGGGGTTTTGAAGGTTGACAAATTCTCGATATCCGTTATTGGTTGCAAGACTGAATCTTAGTAAGTCAGGGTGCAAACTACTCACTAACTTTGATTCGCTGGGTTCAATTGAACTTGTACTTAAAAAACCTAATTTATCTATTAAATCAATGTTTCATAAATCCGACTCATGCTCAAGACATATTTAATTTTATTTTTTACATCATTAACATTTTTAGTTAAAACATCAAAATTAAATACAAATTATTTAGTATAACATTTGACCCATCTCATCAAACTAAAGCATCTTACAGATATAAACCAGCCAGCTTGAATCAACAAAATAGACCTATTTTCTTAACACAGTTTGAACTAAATGGATTGATAGAAATCTAAATCCCAGGCCGCCGAAACAGAAAACCAAACTGCACTCTGGGAACAGAAATAAATGAAGATATAAATAAAGGATGTGGTATTTGCACAAAATTTTGAATTTAAATAGATGTAAATATAACACACTGCGGAAAATTATTCATATTATAGAATATACAAAAGACAGAGCAAAAATCAGAGGTTCATGCCCCACTAAAATGACTAGATTTTGCTTTTTAATGATAGATAGAAAAGCATAAAGGATGCTCGTGGCTGCAACCACTGCAATAATTATGCATCGTGGAATTCCCATACTATTTATAGCTGTGGAAAGAGTGTCACCAAGATAAATAATCAGTTCTCTCCAACTGCAATGATATTAGTCACGCTGTAAGAACCCTTATACTTGCTATCACAAAAGAATATAGACGACCCAGACATCAGGATGTTATCAGCTTCAAACGGAGGGATTCCATGTAAAATTCAGAGTTCAATTAGTTCATGACCATTGACTTCAAACCAACTTGTATAATAACCTAGGATTCGTAGATCTTCATGGCAGATAACACGATTGAGCTATTGCAACTCAACCATTCTTGGGCATCAGATGTGACTTTTATTTTCACTATGGGATAAAAAAAATCTATTTATAGGTTCTGCACAGTAGAATCGTCTCACTTTACAGGACGGACACCAATTGTTCTTACACGAAATCGGTACTGAGGCACAGATTCTTCATCTTCCTCCTCCTCCTCATCATCATCACTAGAACCACCTTCAACAATGTCCCACCGGGCATAGTCTAGAGCTGAATGTCCTTTTGGTTTTGGAATTGTTTTCCATCCTTTGGAATGTTGCTCGGTTGACTCCCTGTTTGGTGCTTTAGGAACAATAGCATCTGCTGTGGACTTCTTCGGCTCATAGTTTTGGTTTTCTCCTTGGTTGGATGAAAACTTGGGATCTGTTTTGGGGGGAGCACATTCAGCACTAATAATACTTTTGCCAAGCTCATCCTCTTGATTTGTCCTAATAATAGAAATCTCTGCATGTTTCTCTCCCATCTCTTCCTTTTTATTCTCTCCTTTTGGTATCACTTCAGGCTCTTCATCTTCCTGTTTGTCATACTCCTCTTCTGATTCTGGTATTGGAGCAAGTGACTTTCCTTGAGCAAGAATTAAAAAAAAAAAAAAAAAAAACACCATTTCTTACTACCAACCAATAAAATATTTTGTCTAGAAGAACAAAATTCTAGGTCAAATTTAGGTCAATCTAATGTGTCTCCTTTTTATTCCCCATTTCTTCCACTTTCTCTCTTTATTTCTCACCCTATATTCAACTACTTATGTAATACCCAAAACTTTTTAACAAAACTAACTCAAATGCACTCAATGAGTGTCCCTGTCCCTCCTACTGGCAGGATGAAAGAAAAGTCAAAAAAAGAATACCTAACAATAAAAATATAAAATCCAAAAAAAAAAAAAGAAGGAAAAAACAACAACAATATTATAATTAAGTGAGAACAATAACCCCACAGCCGTGCTAAGTAATCTATTAGGAACTTGAAACCAAGCTACCAGCTATGCAATGCATGCAACCTGAAATGAAAATAAGATAGCAGAGATAACACCCTACCAACTGCGTCCTCAAGCGAGCATGAAGATTTTGATAAACCTCTGAAGATGGATTCAACTCTAAGAGTCTGTTGACATCAAAAAGTGCTGAGTGGTACTCCCTCAAGGTGACTAGCGTTTGAGCTCGCAGCATCAATGCCCCACTGTGCTTTTGATCAAGCTCAAGCACTGAGGTACACTCTTCTGCTGCCTAAAATGGCAGTGACAAGTATTGATTGCATCCCAAAAACACGTATTAGGCAGGAAATCACGCAGCAAAAGCTTGAAAATGGAGGGAATGACAAGCAACGACATTTAGAAGGTTAAAATCCTAACCAATGTTTAATTTGACTCAACTTGGATTAGTTGATTTGAAACCCAAAGTGGCATCAAATACAGACGAAAGCATTACAAAATCGGATCATGTGTCCTTGGGCACATAACAAGAAATCAATAAATAGTAAGTTTTATTGAAAATTGTTGCATTTAATATTATCATTGCATTAAATCTTGTGATATCATGTGTTTTCCTATAAAAAAATTACTATCTGTAGTACATTCGCCAAACCATTGAAAAATTTAGAAGAAAAAGGGGCAAGAACTATATAATGACATTATCCAATGACAAGACTGCTAATTCAACATCAACGAAGCAGCAAATATTTGTTAACAATTGATGCATTATATATACAAATAGCAGCAGATCCTTGGACAGGAAGTAAATGAACATGTTCAACTAAACAACAAATCTGGATCCTTTCATGTTGAGTAACATGATACGATTATATTAGAGAGAGAAACACACTTTTTATCAAATTTAATTAGTGGGTCCTACAATCATTCATGATGAATCTTTGATAAAAATTGTCTCTTTCTCTCGCTAAGATGACCACCATGTTACTTAACAACAGAAAGGGATCCAAATTCCTAAACAATATTCCATTAAAACCCATAAAACGCACATAATTGCAAGCAAATTCACCATTCAAACCAAATCAATAGAAACATCTACATATTCAGAATTTCAACAGACCTTCACTATTAACTAATGAAACAGTTCCTCTTGAGCATGGCCTTTAAGTTCACACATTTATCAGGACCCAATAATCACATTCTTTCGTTGAAAAAGAAAAAACTCAACCTAGAATAAAACATTAGCTGAATTTTGAAAATTGCTCAAACATAAAGTTTAAATTCATCTTTTATGAGCTCATACATCGTCCTACTATTTAAAATTAAAAATAAAATCGGAGCTATTCAACTCACTGTGCAGAACGTAGAAAATTCATTTCTTAACCAAATACCAAAAACAAACCAGAGAGAGAGAGAGAGAGAGAACCTTCTTGAAATCATGAAGCTTGAGATAGCACGCAGCTCGATTGCTATGCAGAGCAATCTTCTGAGGGTTGGTCTTGGCCATGGCAATTGCCTCAGTGTAAAACCCTAACGCCTCGCCGTAACGTCCGTCACGGTACATCTGGTGAGCGCGTTCGATCTTGTTCGACGCCGCCATCTCCGTCGCAATTCGATCGCAAACTTTCAACAACAACAAAAAACGAAGAGTTTTAAATCATGGAACGATTCAAAATCATGTGTACACGTACTTCACTGTGAAACGAAAAATTGAGTTTTGGACAGCTTTCAAAAATCTATAAGTGAGCTCAGTGACAGCTTGCGTATGAAGAGAGAATAAGGAACAAGACGACGCTGTCGTTGGAAGCGCTTCGCCCAATTATTGTACTCTCGCTAGAAACGCGCGTTTGCCTCTGTCTTTTCTCTTTTAGTTTTTTTAAAAATAAAAATAAAGGTTTAAATACACCCTACTCTCCTTGTTTAAAGGTATATATTTACACTTTCTACCTTAATTTATTAAATTAAGCATTTTTGTCCCTAATTTAATATTTTTTATTGTAATTTTCCGTTTTCATGTAAGTTATCGGTTTAAGTAAATGGAATAAAATAATTCAGTTTTTAATAAAACTAAAATACAATATTATCCGATTATATATATTTTTCCTTAATAAAGTTAGTAATATATTTTTTCTGTACTGAGAAAGAAAGAAAAAAATTAGTAAATAAAAAACATGCTCTTATGCTTTATATATTCTTTCTCGTATGATTATTTATTTTTGCATGCCGTGCTACCAATAGATAAAGAAATAAAGAGGGGTGATTTTGCATGAACAATCATAAAAAAGAAAGAAAGAAAGAAACTATACAACATATCAGGTACTGTTATCAATTTTCAATAAAAATAAAGGCAAAATTGAAAGGTGGATCCTTGATCCTCTCCAAACTTGAAGTTTATTCAGAATTTAGGTGAAAGTTATAGCTTTCTTTTTTAAAATTATTTATGTATATGTTTGAATTTATACTTAAAAAATTCAATGAAATTTTAGTTCATATCTTTTAAAAGCAAAATATAAAAAAAAATTAATCTAAACTTTGCTTTAATCTTTAAAATATTGCTATTTATCTATATTTAGTATTAGTGTTATTTTATTCAAGAATAATAATAATAATAATAATAATAATAATAATAATAATAATAATAATAATAAAGATAATCTATAAGTTATAGTTTTATGAATACTAATTTTTGTTAAAAAAAAAACAATTTAATTTTTTATTGTATGTTTATCCTATTTTACAAAAGTAAAAAAGAAACAATTTTATTTTAAGAAAAATAAAAAGTTGCTTTTTACAAATTTAAAAAAAAAATATTTGATTTCAAAAGATGAAAATTAAACATTATGGAAATGCAATCACAAAAAAGATGTCAAACTTTACACACGAAGAAGAAAATTTTCATAAATTTAAACTTTTGTGAAAGAATCCTAACAAAAAATGGAACAAACATAAAGAAGAGGGGGTAAAAAAAATATACCACAAAAAGATCCAAAAAACAAGGAAGAAGCACAAAGAAAAGGGAGCATAAAAAAACTAAAAAAAAAAAACAGAGAGGTAAGAACGAGGGCAGATTTTAATATCTTCTATTCTTTTGTAAAAGGTAAGGAAAAAAAAACTTTTGTAAAAGTAATTAAATACTATGGACCGTTGATTTTAATCGAATGGTTAAAAATGAATTACAGGATACCGGATATTCAAGTTAGATTTATGAAAGGATACATTGGTAATTTCATGTTTTTATTCTTTTTTCGTGTTTTCTTCTTCTTCTTGTTGGTTCTCTTTATCTTTAGCGGTAAAAAGACCAGTTTGTACAACTCTATAGTATAACTCATGGAATAAAGTAAGGTTAAAAAAAACAATAACATCGAGTTGTGGATATTCAACTTATATTATTTTGATATATATGGGTCATATATATATATATATATATATATATATATATATATATAAAGTTTACTGAAAATTAGATGTTGAAAGTTTAATTTATAACGACAATTGCATAACAGAACAACAGGTGTGGAGCGTTTACAATGTTAAAAACATAGAATTTCAAATATTAACTATGTATAAAGTTAAGTTTAAGATAAAAATAACATCAGGTTGTGGAGATTCAATGTAAAAAAGTACAGATATTTTGATGGATTAATCACTATGAGCATCAGGTAGATTTAAAATTCATTGTAGAAATTAATGTTTCGGAAGAAAAATATTTCAACATCAGTGAGTTGCAATGAATTTATTAATATTAATATAGTATATATTAAAAATACATATTTGGGTTGCATATTTATAATGATTGTGTACTGTGCAGTAGTACAAAATGTAATGAGTTGTGTTTTTAGTCTCCCTCAATAAGGAGATGACTGTATTACTACAATGAAATTGGTTATGTAGGTCATAGACATGAAAAAAATAATGAATATTTTATAGTTTTTGTAATAGTTCGATAGTTAAAAGATGTTAAATTGTAGACAGAGTTTAACAAATGTATAGTCGACATTTGCATCAGTTGTTTGCTTAACTAATGCCAAAAAATAAGGACCTTTAATAATTAAGTCATAAACATATTTACATCAGTTGTGTGGGTGAACTGATGTCATAAAATGCGCACTTTTTACAATGTATTATTGCACTATATTTGCATCAGTTGTGTGGGTGAACCGATGTCATAAAATGTGCACCTTTTACAATTTACTGTTGCACTGTATTTATATCAGTTGTGTGCAGAACTAATGTTATAAAACATGCACTGTTTACAACTTAACTCATAAATATATCTACATCAAATATATGGTAATATGATTTTAATGTCCTTTCAATATTGTGGTCATTGTGAAACCTTCCTATCTTCAGCAAGGTAAAAATTCTCGTATTTTCTATGTACATATTCCTACGGCACAGGTGAGTATTCTTGTTTATATTGCTATAGTTATAAATACTTTCTTATTCCCATCAACAAAACATTTCCTTTTCATCTCTCTTCCGAAATCGGTATAGAAATGAGTGTTTTTCTTACATTGTTTACCTTAGTTACTGGGGAGTTTTGGGAAATACCTATATGGAGCATCTTTTGGGTGTGGGATGCTCATTTAACCTCTGTTCTCATCTCGTTTTTTATTTACCTGGGTGCACTGCGTTTTTCAAAAGTTCCATGAACTCACTAGGTGAGTAAAGTAACAGATTTGGGCAATATAGGTACAACAGTTTACAAAAAAAAAATTAAAAATAAAAACAAAAGAAGACAATGTTCATCAATGGTAGAATAGTTTCCGCACTTTTACCTTTCTTCTGCGAAGATGGAGCCATTTACAGTGTACCAATGCAATAAAATATGATATGAACTAAGGTGTCAAAAATGGTAATGCATACAAATTCACGCTTTCATCATTTAACAATGCCTATAGGACAGATCCGATGTCGTGTATTACATTCTTTTAAAATTGTACATAAAGGTTTTTACATCTGTTATAGAATTAAACTGATGTATAACTTATCCAAGTTTACGTTGTGAATGAGGTTGGGATCTTTTACACCGGTTGGACAACAAAACTGATGTAGAAGTATTACTATGTAAAAAGATAACTTTTTACGCTAGTTCTGTGAGAGAACCGATGTAGAAATAGTTACGTAAACAAAAATAACTTTTTACATCAGTTCTATCTAAGAACCAATGTAAAAAGCTGTGATTTTTTTTTTAAATACTTTCTGCGTCTTCTTCATTTTTGCTTTTTTTCAACCACATTTCATCTTCTTCTTGGTTTTGTCAGAGGTCTTTCCCTTTCCAGTGAGATTTTTTCAACCATATCTCAACCTGCTTTTTGTTATCCAAATTGAAACTCAGTTTTGATTGATAAGGCAGTGCATGCGATCCAGAGGAAATAGCGGAGGAAGCCACAGAAGAGAACGAGGGAAGACCACATGCCAAATGGTTCAGAATCTGAACATAGCATTTCATTACTTAATTCATTTCGATAAAGCCTTGATCTTGGGACGATTTCAGACAAATAGAAAGTAGATCTGGTACTTTTCCGAGATCAAGAAATCGATACTTTCAGAACTCAAGTAAGCAAGCGAGTTACCTCATTCCTCTCAACCTTAGCCTGGGAATATGCCCTACCATTGAGCTTCTTCCGTGTGTGGAATAGTTCTGACGAGGAAAGCCACATTTTCATCTCTATGCAATTTCATTTTCATAAACACATGTTGGTATATTTAAATTTTAAGGATGATAAATTAGACTTAATTACATATAATTTCAAAATTAAGCAAAAAATTTAAAAACACTCATGTGTTAGTTTATGCACATTGGTTTATGCAGAAAATTTTAAAGTTTTACGCATATTTTACATTATACAGATTGATTTATACATAATCCAAAATATTAATTTTATGTTATTATCCTTCTTCATCTGTCTCACTTATAACTTCTTTTCATATTTGTTAACATTTTTAACCTTTAATCTTAGCCATATATTTTTATACTGCTTCTATTAACAGCTTAAATTTAAATATAAATCACTTATGCAAAAGCAATATTTTTAAACCAACATACTTATTACAAAAAAAAAGGAGGATATTAAAATCCCCCAAGAACGAGAGCTTCAAGGGTAAGAAAAAGAACAAAGGAAATTAAAGACTAAAAGAAATGGAAAATCGTACCATCGACTGCCATTAAAGTCACCATTGGTCACTATTTAAGCTAACTCACCATTATCTGTTGTTCAAATTTAAAACTATTTACTAACCTTTGTGAATCACACTTGGAACTCTGTAAAACTAGACTGTAAATATTGCTTTACATTTTTAGTGTAATACTATTTTTTGTTGTCATAAATTTCAAATATTGGTACTTAGTCCAAAAAGAGAAAAATAAAAGATAAAACAAAACTCAATCTATCCAACCTATAAGTCTACAAAAACAAAAAAAATATTTGTATCCCCTAAGCTAGTTTTGTCTAAAAGTATTTTTGTTAATTTTCTTTTTTCAAAAATGGGCTAGTGTTCTTGTGGCCCAATAGGTATTTTTCACTTATTTTTATTATCTTATTTACTTTTAGTTTGTTTTAGTGAAAATATTTTGCTTCTCATTTTAAATTTTTACTCCTCTTAAATTTTATTCATTGATTGTTTTAAGATTGTAATAATATATAAATGTCTTTTTAATAAATTTTATTGTTATTATTATATCTTTTTGAATTATATTTTTTTAATTTCCTTGATATATAAATAAAAATAAACAACTAATTTTATTGATTCATCAAAATTAAAATCATGCAACACTCTTACATTAATTTTATTTTGATATTCTTATTCTTTTTTATTTTCTTCTAAAATTCAGTTATTTAATAATAATAATATTGGTCTTTGTAAGTTATAG